CCTGAGCTGCTGCAAGTGATCGATCAAAACGCCCCGCACTCCACCAACAACAGTTGACTGCTTGGCGCGTACGTCCATAGCGTCCGCCAGCAGCTGTTGGAAGAAACGATCTGAGGCGAGGGGGAAAAAACGTACCGGACGTATTTTTCGCAGCCACGGCCAGGCAGCAGTGCGTCCATAGTAGCGTACACATTCCAACGATTGCGAAAGCATAGCACTTGCCATGCAGTGTACAGGCGAAAGAGATGCTCTGGCAGCAGTGGGTTTCTCAGGCACATTGAACGCATTCGCCTCAATGCCCCATATGAAATTAGACATAAACTGGGCTGTAAATCGGTTGGCAAGCTAAGTATTTGATTAAAAAATAATAAATACATTTTAATTAAAAAGTGAACGGTGTTTAGTAAATATTACGCACTTCTTTGGCATCTTGAGGTTGAGGTACGGACACTCCAAGGAACTCGACAGCTCTCTGGGCGCTGGACCGCATTGCGGAATAGAATGAGCGAATCTAGGGAGAAAGAAATCGCTTTTTCAAAAATATATTTGTAAAACGTATTAATTTAATTCGTAATTGATTTAAATACCTTGTTAATAGTGAGCGCTGGGACCAACTCCGAACGTCGCGCCTTCCACTTTTCGCCAATTGAGACAAAAGGACTGGTGAAACGCAGTTGTTCCACTTTCTCGCTTGACTGAAAAATTTAAAAAAAAAAACGTACATATCAATATATATACTAAAACATACATACGATGCATCTTTTCGTTCAGCTGTAGTTATTGATCTTTTCTGGATAGGAAAAGGCAATGCATTTCTATTTTCGCACTGGGAACATAATCAAAATACATATACATACATATCGTTACTTTAATTCGCAAAAGCGCTAATCAAAACTTTTTTCGAAACTTCATTTTTCACAGATTTTCGTAAAATAAATTGAAATACACGTTCACTAAATTTTTTTTTGTGTTTTAAAGTCTATAACATTACTCGCTTAATTATAAGGAGTATATTTAATCTTATGTAAATACAAAAGATGATAGCTACTAAAAGATTTATTTGTAGCTAATTTTCTGCATCATAAAATCTTATATATTTTTGCAAGACAATTTCGAAAAATAAAAATTTCTTTTTGCCGAACGTAGGGGTTGCCTTTTAGCATATTTCCTTATATCTTTGGCATTCACTGTCGGGTCTTAAAAGTCGATTGTTCTGAAGTACCCAATTTTAGTACTTGCCCACCAGAACTCAGTTTATATTACCATAAGGTACCACCCTAATATCAGTAAATTAAAGCTCGGAAAAAATCATTCAAGTTTTGCTAAGGAAGTATTTCGATTATTCCAGAAGAACTACGTCCATATGAAGGTGTTCATTCGGCCAAAACAACAATTTTTTTTTTAAATGTTCTTGTAAAAATACTTTGACTTCGAAGGTGGATTTTTTTTAGTTGTAAGGTGGAGCGGTCTAATGTACATATGTATGTATGTACTACTCGTATGTACATATATATGTGCAATGAGCACTCTTATAAAGTTGCTTACCCATTGCGAAGATTCATTATCATGAAAATTTTTAAAATGTTGAGTTAAGATCTCCAAACCCAGTTGGGGATCACAGATAAAGAGCTTAGGCGTACGTGCTGTGAAAATGCCCACATATTTTTCCGTTGATTTGTAGCGCCTGAAACCAAAAAATAAATTATTTATGATTATAATCTATAGCAACATAAATGATAAAAATCTAATTTTATTTTGCTCGAAAGCTTTTAATTTTACATTCTCCCTTGAACAGTCGCTGAGCTTTTTTGTGTTTCACCCAATGTTTTTGATCAAATAAAATTCTATTATAAGCTACATATGATTTACAGATAAATTTCATGCAACTCCTCGACCAGGTTGCACTGCCCGGCACTGGATTTCGGAAGCGTGCCAATGAGTAAATTAGGTTTAGGTCCTTGCACACCGCGCTTCCGCCAATAGTTGAAATGCCAGCGCAAGTACGATATTACCAGAGCGGATATGAAAAATACGAGTGAACAAAATACATAGACCGCCGCAATTGGAACCATTCTCAAAGAAAAGTGCGAGCATTTCCCACTACAGCCAAGTTTCTACTGGCTGAAATTTTGCAGCATCGAAGTGCATCGCATCTAACTACATACATATGTACGTACTTATGAACAGCCGAAACTAACTGATAAAATGGAAATACATAAAGATTACTTGTACTTATTTTATTATTTTTAGTTTTATTTTGTATATACCTAGAGCAAATATTGTGCTTATGTACATAAGTATGCATTTGCATGAGTACAAAAAGATACTTAATTGTAGCGGGTCCGACTGTGCTCGTACAGAAAGCGTATAGTGAGAATGACAAAGATTGGGTCCCTACAACCCATAGCCTCCGTACAACTGATTGTTCAGATATTGGGTTTTTTGTTATAACTCCTCCATTTTTGCAGTTAGGTGCATGAAATTTGGCACTATTTTCACTCATCATCAACAGGACGTTTGCAGTGAGTTTTGTGTTAAACCTCCTTCATTCGGACGACTAGCAATTTCGTGAATATCATTCAAAGTCTATTGTTCCGATATGATTTTTTTATGTTACCCCTTTATGTATGCAGTGAATATACAAATTTTGGTTAGCTCCAAAGCAACTCATTTCAAAAACCGTAATCGGTTTATTTACAATTTTCTGATGTTAATGAAATGTACGAAGCCTTCGGCATAGCCGAAATCGGTGCTGCACTTACTTGGTGTTTTATTTTTATTTTGGGCACCTACTTTCGACTTTTCAAGGTTGGTTATAGGCTAAAAATATTTTCGATTTATAAAGGGGGTGTGGCACCTCCCATACAAACTGAATTTTTCATATGGTGTTTATGGTGGAGTACTGGAACTTGGTATGAGGGTTATTGGAAAAGAGGGCATGTAACCTTATGCATACTTTACCCACAAACGATTAAAAAAAAATAACACCAGTTTCATAAATTGCATTTATTTTATAAAAAACCAAAAAGCCGGTGTTAAACCAGTATTATTAAACATTGAATTGAATTGAATTTTTGAATTTTTCTAAATTTTGCGCGAACTTTGAAACTTAGATTTATTTAATTTTGGTTAAAGGGATATTTGCAGCTCTCAAGAAATACAAAATATGTATGTATATAAAATGACGCACAAGAAATGGAAAAGAAATGTTCTTCTATGAAAATTTCGTCAACGGGTTGACAGCTCTCAAGAAAAAAATGCTTTTGCATATATTTATTTCTTCAAGAAAATTTACAGCACACAGCAAAGTACTTTTCCAAATAGCAGAAATAATGAAAAATATGTCTTTAGATATTTCTATCAGTGCTCACGACCTCTACATAGCTCTATTCTGATATAAAAATCCATCTAAGACTTAACTGTCATCGGTGATATTAATGCTGACCTTGTATACCGCTTGACAGAGAAATTTACTATTAGATATATTGCAAACATCAGTGATGACAGTTAAGGCCCAGTTGGGTTCTAACATCGTAAATTAGTTGTTGTGAAAATTGCAGATATAGGGTATTGCATATATATAAGCGCAAACAGTCAACGACGTAGCGTAAACGTAGGTTGACCCAGACACGATCTACCTTATGGGATTCGCGTGTTACTGAAAACTCACCACCTGGGGTGCCATTGCTTCTCTCTCTCTCCCTCTCTATCAACAGTAAATTTGATGTGCTACTACGTACGTCAACGTACATTTACGCTACGTCATTGACTGTTTGCGCTTTAAGCCCTTGATATGTATGCATATGAAATGAAATCAAACCGAAAGTAAAAGCAAACATGGAGAATATTAAGCAAACTGAAGGAATTGATTTCAGAGTTTGAATTGAATTATTCTACTCGTGCTAACTGCGAAGAAATACCCTGACGGAAACCAGTGATTTTTTTTTTTTTAATCAACTAATTGAAAGACTACTTTAAAACATGTGTAATGAGTAAATGTTTCGAATTTTTATACTCCTCTTACTCAAAAAACAAAAAACAATTTTTGTCTCGGAAGTATGAAAAAGCATCTGCGAAGTGCAGAACGAAAGCGTACTCAAACGAAACATACTGACTTTGAAGTTGTTTAAGCCAAATTAATTTTAAAATAATTGAAAATGTATGCAGGAAAAGACAATTGACTGCTTCCTAGGACATCGCCATGTTAAATAAATGAGTTCGTTGCAGGTAAAATAGTGAGAATTTCAATTAGTTATCATTGAAAATAAAGTAGTTTATAAATTACTTTCAAACTAATATTCATAAGATAACACCGCGTTTTCATTATTTAATAATAGAAGGTTGTCTCGCTCTCTTAGCCTGGGTTGCCTGCTTTTTAAATATACCCTGTAACAAATCGGACCCTCGGCTAGTCCCTATAGTTACCAATACCTATAGTTAAAATGAAGTTGATACTTAAAGTTAGTTTTAGGTTTTTGGCACAATATTTAATCGGTTATCTGTCAAAAAAGTTACAACTAACTTCATGTACCAACTTAATTTTTACAATGAATACAGCCCATTATATATTCATAAATATTAAACGCATTTCTGGTTACTTTTCTACTACTTTTTACAAAAAGGTGTTCAAATTAATATCTCTTTCTCTATACCCATCCAATGCAACCTGTCAATATATATTCAACCTTTAATAATTGAATCGTCCCAATTTGGCATCTAAAATACTTTATTGGTATTCACAAATACTTGCATAGCTATGTATTATATATGAGGTGTGTGGGGTTAGGGTGGTCGTTGGTGGTTCCCCCGCCCGGGTATTCAAAGGCGCCCGAATTTCATTTAGGTATGTGAAAATAGTTATTATAAATTCTAATGAATATGAAAGCGCATTTTTACGTACACATTCAAATGTTCTACGCTCATTTCTATATCTGGCACAGTCGTAATAATATAGTCCAAACAACCGCCAATCTGGCCTGCACATACCGCTGCCTGCATCGCACCCGTATTTTCTCTTGCCGGCCCTGTCCAAGAGAGTACACTGTGTGTACCTAATAGCAGCACCCATGAGTAGCGTGCATACAACACCTCAATTGCTAATAATGAATATTAAATTGCTTGATAAAAATACTACATAGATTTGTACATTGTACATGCAAATATATGAATGCACATTACGCCAGACAAAATTCGATGCATAGCACAGTCTCGTCATGGAGCCGCTCCTAGTCACATTCGCTTTGTTCGCCGCTTTCGGTGTTTTAATCTACAAATACTTGACATGGCATCACGACCTCTTCAAACAATTGGGCGTAGCCGGTCCGCAGCCAAAGCTATTGGCGGGCAATTTCCCTGGAAAAAAGCATTTTGTCTACGAAGTAGATGATATTTACAAGTGAGTTTTCTATCAAATATTTTATTATATAAAAATTAAAAAAAAAACAGAACATACCTACTAAATACTATTCCTACATACTACTTACATACATATCGAGGGCTTATATTCAATACCCTCTAAATATCTGCAATTTTCACAAAAACTACTATTAAATTGCACAGCCAGATGGGCTCAAACATCACAAAGTAAAGTCTTCTGTCAAGCGTTATGTGTGTATGTACAAGGTCAGCATTATTATCACCGATGATAAGTGGATTTTTATATCAGAATCTAACTTTTGTGAAAAGTGCAGATGGATTTGTATGTAAATACTACATACACATAAGAGGGAAAAATTTTACGATTCAAAAATTTTAAATTGATTTGTGAAACAATCTACATATATACACATAGTGTCATCTTCAGATTGTAAAAAAAAAATTGCAGTTATTAATTGACGCATTTAGCTGCTATGAAATAATACAAAAACCAACGCCGGTAGTTCCCTTCTCCATTCCAGTCTATGGTATATAGGTATGTAGTATTTTGTCACAAAAATGTTCATTGACAATTATTTTATTTCTAAAGCAAAATATGAATATGAATATTTTGCTTCCTCTATCCCTCTCTATTTATCTCGTCCTCTATTAAATCCAAGATATATTCAAGAAGGTCGAAGTGACAAAAAAATTTATCAAAAAATAGTGCACAAACGATTTGAAAGATTTTCTTCTATATATGACATTTTAATCGTAGTCTAAAATTGTAAAATAGGACTGTCGGAATACTTCTACATTTTTGAATATGTCTTAATTAAATGCAAATTTTAGAAAATGTTTATTCCAAATCAAAATGCTTTTACTTGAATATTTTGGGTTTTTTTTCAGTACATATAAGCAAAATCACGCAGTTATTGGCGTTTTCCAATCCAGAAATCCCAGCTTTTTAATATTAGATCCGAAGTTGGCCCATGAAGTCATGGTAACGAATTTCAAAAAGTTTAGAGACAATTTGGCAAAGAAATTTGTAAGTTGTGAAATTTTCATACTTGTGTATGTACAATGTACATACATATCGGCGGTACTTTGGTAAAACCTCATATCACAGAAATCACTACTACTTTATAACTTGAACAATTATTTCAAAATAGAACTTAAAATACTACCATTCATTACATATTATTCTGAATTAACTACAAAGTATTTAATATTTAATATTCAGTAAAAAAAGGTTTTTGTTCGAGAGTGTTTTGAGATACGAGGTTTTGCCAAAGTACCGTCGATATGTACATTTGTTTTATGTTTGCGCATATATGTATATTTATATACATCTAAATTTTAATTTTAATTCAATGTGGTTAGCGAAATGTAATGTGGGTAATGGAAATTGCAAGACGGTGTAAAGTACATAAATTCACGGTGCACAGATTGCACGGATTGCCCGGTAAAAACCGGTTTTCGTATGGGATAGCTTTGCAAACCGTGCAATCCGTGCACCGTGCACGGGCTTTGCTAGACTCAGAGAATACCCCTATTTGATACGTAAGTTATTAAATCGTCGAAATTCTAGTCTTCGTAGAAGCAGAGATACTGGTTTAAATAAAGTGTCGAATCCCACGCATGTTAGCGACGATATCTATACTGTATAGTCGGAGACCAAATGTAACTTGCTCGTGCCATATCGAACCCTAACGGTAAAAAGAGAGCGATAGTAAATTCTGCTTTTCAAAAACCATTCGGTTGAAAACTCTGAAAAAAATTTGAAAAAAAATTCTTTTAAAAATTATTTCCGTTCACAATTCTGTATTCTTTAACTCTGTAAGAAATGATTTAGAACTAAAATTCTGGAAAGTAAAGTTTTGGATTTAAAATTATTTTAGGCAAAAATTCAGTATTTTTTACAAGCTTTTATTTAACTTCCCTTGTATGTATGTATGTACATATGTATGTCCTGGAATTTCGCAATCAATATGTATTGCACCAACTTCCCGATGAGCTACTTAGACACTTGAAACTTCAAACTTAGCTCGTAATCCAATGACAATGCGATATGAAATAGTCCGATATTTGTGGCGCAGAAGGGAGGTATTTGGTAATACAGAATAACAAAATACAGAATATTGCAATACACACATTTCACTCAAATTAGAATACAATATGCAGATCCGGGAGAGCCGAATTTATGGTCTTAAATTTAATAAATGAATTGAGTATGATTATATAGTAATAAAGGAAATGTATATGTTTATATAGTATGTTAAATTCTGTAACTAATAAAAATATGTTTAGATCTACGATAGAAGTGAGGATAAAATAGCTTCCGTAAATCCGTTTTCAAACGTTGGGGAAGAATGGAAAACTAGACGCGCAGACGTAATCAGCGGGTTAACACAAAACAAGGTATAAAGTGAGTATAATTTCAGCGTAAGTTCACTTCACGCGCATTTTTAGCTCAACTTAGGTTATCCCATTTGGAAGAGTTGTGCGCAAAAACTAAGCAATCTATTGAAGGAGCAAACTACAAATGGCAACGCTGTTTTGGAAACTAAAAACGTAAGTATGTAAGCGTTTGTTAGAAACATACATATTATCGTACATTTCCTTCACAGCTAATCTATCGATTTAATTCCAACGTTTTGGGCGAATTTCTCTGGGGCATCGAAACAAACACACTCGAGAGTCTAGACAAACCAAATACTTATTTGGACATTTTGAAGAAAGTGCCAGAGCAAATTTTCCTAGCTTTAATAAGCCACATCAAATGCATACCATTCCCTTGGCTTCGACGCTTCACAAACTACCGCATATTTACTAGCGAAACGGTATCCTTTTTCTCACAACTCACCAAGGATGCTTATAGAATGCGCGAAAAGGACGCGACTAATCAAAATAGAGTAGATTATCTGAATTATCTGCGTCAGCTGCAGGAAAAGAAAAATCTGTCGCACGAAGAAGTGGTTGGATACATGGCAACTGTACTTGTAGATGGGTACGATACATCGGCAACGATTGCCTACCATACACTTTTCTATGTGAGTCAAAGATCATTCGCAGAGCGGTTGCAATAACTAATATTACTTTCCAATTTCAGTTGACCCACCACCCAGATTGGCAGGAAAAGGTGCGCAACGAAATTCTAAGCAATCTCGATGCTGATGGTACTATCAGTTACCAAACTTTGATCGGTCTGCCACATTTGGATCAGTGTGTGCAAGGTATGTATTCGCTTTATGCGCATATAGACCGAAATACACATAGTTATCAACGATCGCATTACGATTTCTTTTAGAAACACTGCGAATAATTAGTCCGCTTACACTTACTTCGCGAATTTGTACAGAATCCACCGAATTTGAGCTTAACGATGGACGACGTATCCCCATTAAAGTGGGTCAGGAAGTCGCCATTCCGTTTTTTAGTTATGTTCACGATCCCGATTACTTTCCCGACCCATGGGAGTTTAAACCGGAGCGTTTCAATAACGTTGATCTAGCAGAATTGGCGAAGAGGGGCATTTTTGTTCCCTTCGGCGACGGTCCACGCATTTGTTTGGGTAAATGCCTGCTGGAATTAATCACTGCTAAGGCGATAAACGATTCACTATTTTTTTTTCCTAGGGCGACATATGGCAATGTTGCAAGTAAAAACTCCGATTGCCGAAATACTTAAGACTTATCGGCTGAAAGTATGTGAGAAGACTGCGTCTGAAAGAAAACCCGACTCGCCAACTATTGTTGTAGGATTGGATGGTGATTTGATAATTGAATATGAGAGACTCTAGTCAGCAAAAATATTTACGTACTCTTCAAAAATATTTTACATTCGGCCCTATTATGATTGTCGATGTCGACGTCGTTGTAATTTTTTAATAAAAAAAATAACCGTCGTAAGTCCAACAGCGGTTTCACTGACCACAGTAGTTTTGCGAGGAATACCTTTCCGCAAGGCTATTTTTTGACGAAAAAATATCATCGACGTCGACATTGAGAACCATAATAGGGTCAATTATTTTTTTAGAGAAAAATTTAGCAATGCATTCTAGGACTTCGGGAGATTAAATTAAAAATAAATTCCGGGCGAACTATATAAATATGTATGTATATATATATGCTGGGTGCTAGCTCTGGTCACATATATTATTATATATAATTAATAATTTATATTTGAGAAATTATCGTTAAAAAGGGAATTGGTATATATTGAGGTTATAAGTGTTGAAAGGAAAAACTAAAGTTATTGGGTAAACATGTAAGTATAGACCAAACAGAAATTTAGAAGCAACGACGCCCGGGCGTACATAAAACGAGGCGCCCTTTGATAATAATGTTTATCACCTCGATCTATTTTTCTTGTAGGATAATCAATGTATTGCAAAAATAGTTGAAATATAAGAAATTTTAAATTTTATTGAAACCAAAATTTTCAAATACTTATCAATTATAAGAAGTTTACTTTGCTTGCTTTGGCTTGAGCAAATTTCTCGTTGGATTTGGACAAGTCAATCTGAGTGGCAATCTCGTTTTCGATAGATAACTGTCATAGCTAAACAAAAGCGTCAGCGTTGTCTGGCTGTCAAAAAAATCTCATGTCCATACAATTTGTATGAAGCATACCGAAACAACGCGGCGTCAACGCTGAACGGTTGGAAAATGAAGCTGGCTGCAGAAAACGGCGAAACTGTCATATTCGCATTAGGTATGGGCCTTCGGTGTTAACGCTAGGCGTCAGAAAATGCTCCGCCCTACGCTTTTGTTTAGGTATGGCAGTAAGATAGCTAAAATCGTTTTTTCTTTCTTTCTTAGGACATAGTAGGTCTTAAGTCATTGGCAATGTCAACAAAATTCTGATGGAAATCCAAACATTACAAAAGATATCGATGACATTTTTCTTGGCAATATAATTTGGCCGATTTAACTGAAAGGAAAATCGAAAATCGAATTTGGTAAAGAAAGTTCCGATACGATATATGTGCGTATGGATGTCTGATAGAATAGAAAATCGGTCCCCAATTGTTTGAAGATAAGCTGGAAGAATACTGCGCTTGTACAAACATGCCTGTTTTGACGAACGATAATCGTCATTTCCTAACGCGATTACAGTCTTGGGTATACCTTTCGTTTTACATATTGCAAACTTAAGTAAAAAACATCATTTCAATTGCGCTCCTTTAGATTTGAAAAAAAAAACTGGATTTCACTTTTTTCATTTAAGCATATAAATTGCGTGTCAGCGTGTATCAATCGGATCTCTTCAGGAACCTTTAATCGATCATCTATATATCAAGGGCCAACATTAGGAATTTGCACAAAATTGCACAATCGCGTTTTTAGCATATTTTTGGTGACAAAAATTTAGTCATTGGAATTTCTCTGATGTCGGGTTCGAGGTGGGAGCGACGGATGCAGGTGCTAACAAATACGCACAGGCTTGGTGTGCGGATAAAAAACCGCAGATTACTGATGTAGAAATTAGGCGAATAAAACAACGATGCTAAACTTTCTGCAATAGGTTTAAAAAAAGGTGAACCTGCTATGGTAGCTCGCATACGAGAAAGCGCAATAGATATACCCAGTGTTGCCAACTTTTGATTTTCAAAAAGCACCAAAAACTTGGAAAAAAGCGTTTTACCACACTAAAAGCACTAAATGGTTTTGAATCAATTGATGCTTTTTTCATAACAGCTTGTATGTGTTTAACAAAAACAAAAAATTAACAATATTTACAAGAATGCATACATAAATCAATAAACAAAACTTTTTCGCTCATAACGATTGAAAAACCATAGGCTATAATGACTCATGCTTACGACGTAATACCGAAGTACTGCACATTAAAACTGATATATCTCAAGAAAGAAAAATCGAATCCAAACAAACGAAAATCATGCCCTAAGTAGAAATGAGCAAAAAAATTTTGTTTTCATTATATAACCTCAAATATCGCTAAAAACCGTAATTTTGGCACTTTGAGGTTAGCATATCTCAAAATTCTAGTGCAAAGCAATTGTGCGGCCAAGATGGATTCAGCACCAAGAAAAGACGTGTTTTACTCAGGTGGTACAAAAATACAAATTTTTACAAATAATTAGAAAAGAAAAAAGAAATACTTAACTTACTCGCATATCTATTAGCATTTTCAACGCGAAGAGAATTGAACAAGGTAAATTTGCAAATTCAGCTTTTTATCAATCAATATTTAAGTGCATTTAAATTTGTAGATTTTTGTAAATTCAGTGCTGCCACAGCTATAAATATTTAAAAATTATTTCAGGTTTTAACTATATCGGAGTAATTTTAGTTCAGAAAAAAAGCACTAAAAAAGGCACTAGGCACAAACAAATTTTTTTTTGGCGTTTTAATTTTCAAAAGGCACTAAATCTAGTGCTTAAAGCACCAAGTTGGCAATTATGGATATACCGCTTGCGTAGACCGTTTATCGCAAAAGGTATACGATATAAAAGACGAGGTATCGCATACTTGTCGCATATCTGGGTTTAAGTTTAACAGCTATTTAATTCCGAGTAAGACAGTAGAGGTTTAATTCGGAGAAATGCTGTTAAAGCACAACCAAGAAAAACAGATAAAACTTTCGCAACATTTACAAAACATTAACAACATATTCGCACTGAAATAGTATGCGATAAAATGCCCACGTTCAAAAATTTTCTCTGCGGTAAGATCTCGTATGCGAGAAAACTGACCGTTCGTATGCGAGTGCTCATAACACCTAGAACCGTTTTTAGTTTTGTTTTTTTTTTTTAACTCAAATTTCTCGTATATAGTTAAAATACGAAATAATTTTAAATGTTTAAAGCTGGGGCAGCACTGAATTTACAAGAATCTACAAATTCAAATGTACTAAAATGCAACCATGATTGATAAAAAGTTGAAGTTGCAAACTTACGTTCTTCTTTAATTGTCTTCGCGTTGAAAATGCTAATACGCAGGTAAGTTAAGTATTTCTGTTTCATTTTCTAATTACTCTGGTTTACAGCAAAAATGTTCTATGGATGCCACTATCCAATTCCTATGTAGAATTTCTCGGTGATTCCGGAACTCGAGTAAATTTTTTTCCATGGATACGTTTTCGAGATATTTGCAATTTACCGTTATTCAGCTTAAACAATTTCTTTATCACTAATCTTATATTTTTTCAAAAAGGGTTATTTTATGAAAAAACTATGATTTTGTTTGTTTTTTTAATATAATTGGCTTAAATATATGAACAAGCATTTACATATTATATATCGATGGCTGAGTGGAAGTTCGACCTATCTCGGCAGCCAGTGCGAAATCGATATAGGGCATTTTTGAACCGAATTCTGAGATAGGGCGTTCTTCAACAAAATTCTGAGATAGAGTGTTTTTCAATAAAATTCTGAAATAGGTTGTTTTTCAATAAAATTCTGAAGTAGAGCGTTCTTGAAAAGTTTTCTGAGATAGGGCGTATTCGAACCGGCTGCCGAGATAGGTCGATCTTCCACTCAGCCATCGATATCAACTGAAAGATAAATTAATCGTCTTTATTTCAGCGTAAAAAGTACTATGGATCCGCATTTTTAGTTTTTCCATAGCTGAACGGTTGGTTATCTCTTTGTGTTCCAAATCATTTATTATAAAGTTACACAAAAAGTGCTGAAAAAAATCTTTTAAAACCAAAATAAGGTGCATATATTTCGATTTCGTTGGCACTTATAATAGTGACTAAAAATAGATTACAAACTCTTAAAGTCTGTAATTTCAGATATTTGAATTGAATAATTTTTTCACCAAATTTTTCTGGAAAGTTTTAGTTCCAGCTCTCCTTAAAGGTAAAATTAGTAAGGTAAAGCAAAATACGCGCTATCAGAAAAATTATTTTCTTTTAATTAATTTTTGAATTATTTAACCTTGGTCCAAGAGTTTATGGGGGATACACTCTATTTCGAAATTTTCCATCTTATAAACGCTTAAGTTTTGGCTTATATATACCAAATACAACTAAAACTTTCTGAAGCTAAAAAAATTTGAAGCTAGATAAATATGAAAAGAGCTAAAGAAAGAACTAGGAGCTAAAAGCCAATTTTCGGAGCTAAATAGAAAAATAATAAAGAGCTAAATCTAGCTCCAAATGCACCAAAATGGCAACGCTGACGAGAAATGCATACGGAATGAAAAGTAAATTTTCTCATTAACGTTTAGAGACATTAAATTAAAAAATATGGAAAATAAAAACTGATAACACCAGCTACGTCTCCTTCAAAACTTACAAAAATCTCCCGTATAGTTTCGGACCAATTCCACGTTAAACTTCAAAGTAAATTTTCCCAAAACCGTGCTTTGTAATATACATGTCGTATCCGTTTCTGAGGCGACGATTTGTGCACATTCATGTACCCATTTTTCGCTGCAACTTTGTGCGATGCTCAATGGTGTCAGATTCACAGTTTTAACTGTAAAGTACAGTTTACTGGTCAAGTTTTTTCTTGCCGCTTACACATATGTACTTACGTTTGTGTTTGGCCGAGCTTCTCCTCTTATTTGTGGCGTGCGCCTTTATGTTGTCACACAAAGGGGAGGGGCCTATAGTTTTACGCCCACTCCGAATGGCGATTGTATTTTTATGAGAAATTATTTTTCACGGCATCATTTGTTCGCTTCTTCCTCTTTCTTTTGCCCTGCCTCTTTACTCTCTTAAGCAGAGATCACACGATTTGTACATTTGTACAGATTTGTCCATTTTTACAGAGTGGTGATGTTTGGAAAGCTTTTACTGAGCTGCACTCACTATCGATGAGAATTTCTAGACAACACCACTCTGTGACTGCCAAATATACAAATGTACAAATCGTGTGATCCCTGCTTTATACTTAGAATTTGGTAGTCACGGCCAATCGGTCTCAGCTGAGTTCGCGTCATCTTGTATTCTATCATTCTTGGCACTTATGTTTAAAGCTAAATGTTTACCTTAAAACTGTAGTTATTTACTTTTATTCTTATCAGCTCAATATATAATAATTTTTATTTTAATCGTACACTGATAAGCGCAGAAATATTTTGTTTACTATTTATGCAAATACACACTTTGAGTCACTGTATATTTCTGAATATTCG